CTGCTTTATTTCATTTATTCATTCTTGAAATCATGCATCCATCTAATGACTAGTTTTAGAGCCATTTTATGTATAAAGCACTGTTACTGGCTAGGGATACAGCAATAAACAAGAGGGACAAAATCTGCTCTCATGGAGCTTATATTCTACAGGGGAAGGCAGATACACATACAAAGCTGCTCAGACTGTTGTTCCTCATTCACGTAGAGAACCCTGCAACATCCAATATCCCCTTTTACATTAGAGGTCCCTAACTAATGACTAAGGAGCCCTGGTGGTACAGTGGTTTAAGTGCTCCGCTGCTAACCAAAAGGTCTGTGGTTGGAACCCACCAGCCGCTCTGCACAAGAAAGACGTGGCCGTCTGCTTCCATAAAGATTACAGCCTTAGAAACCCTATAGGACAGTTCTACTCTATCCTATAGGGTTGCTATGAGTCGGAATCCACTAGACAGCAATGGGTTTGGTTTTGGTTCAACTAATGACTGGCCATCTACAGGCAAAAGTAATAATACCTGTAATATCACCAAGTAATTAGCACTACCAATTCTAGGTTTTCCAGATTTCCCAGTGACGGATTTTGTAGAGCGGATTATTTCTTCACAAAAAGGCTGAGAGTCCTCTGCCTACATGCTCATTACTCCCCAACTTTTCTTTACAACCTTACCTTTCCTCCTCTTACACTCATCAAACTTTACACCTTACACATTTATACTTTTCCTAACCCCCTTATCTTTCCACATCTTATACTCATCAAACTTTACATTCTACACATTTTTTAATGTGTTCTCTAATACTCTCTGAACATTCAATTTTATTCCCATTTCAGCCCCTGGTACTTACTTGCCTCTTCCCTGCAGAACTCTATCTCTTCAGATGGAGGACAGTGTCTAGTACATACAGTCCTTCTCTCCCCACATAAAGGCAAAAGCTGCATCAACCAGAAATATGAGAAAAGTAGAATTCACACCAATACACAACTATCTGTATGCTGGCTAGAAGCAAATCTTGACCTCTTCTGAAAATTATGGCTTGAATCACACACCGTGTTTCAAGACAGAAGTATACACCTAAGCATGTATAAAGTAAAAAAGCAGTATTCCCAGAGCACTGATCCTATCCCACAGAATGTGCAGAAAAGGAAAAAAAAAAAAGTGTCTCTATCAAGGGCTTGAAGAAGTTAATTAGCAGATCACGGCTGGTGACTGGCAATTTTGCTTCAAATGCTGAAAAGAATCAGGTTCTTTCTTTGTACTTCCAGTTAGCAGATACAGGTGAACTATGAAAACACAGGAGTCTGAATATACAGAAACAAATCAGATGAAGTAGATAAAAGCCAAGTTCAGACTTGAATCATATTTTGACAATTAGAATCCCATAGGGAAGAAGTAAAATGACGGACATGTTGTATATTGCTATATACATCAAATCTTACAATGTTTTTGCAAGCAACTCCATGAATCAGAGAAGCACTTAAGAAGTCAGTCTCCACAAACTGTAAACAACTTGTCTATGATCTACCTACTTTAGACTAAAGATGACTTAACTTCAACTAAATGGTACTCTTCAGTAAGAAGGAAGAGAACTGAATCTTTTGATATATCACATCTAAATACTAATGGGAAAATAACTTTCTAGAGGTTATTTCCTGCCTCCTAAATCAAAAAGACTTGTCATCTTCTCAGATATTCAAGACTTCTTCTTTCTTAGAACATACACTGGTTCTTTACCTTCCCTGACCAATACTATCTCAAGCACCCAGTATGCATCATGAAGTAAGGAGACCAGTAAAATTATTTAAATGTCCTATCCAAAAGGGATTATGGAAAAGTCAACATTAGATACATTAGGGGCAAAATGTACACAACCAGACATTGGTAGTAACCGAATTGTCAGTAGATAATCTTTAACTAAGAAGGTGTATGATGCAAAACACAGCTGATAAAGGCCAATACTGACAAGAAGCAAACTCTATGGACTTTAATATTAAATGTGAGAAATTATTCTGTCAAACCTGCCCTGAATTAACACTGATTGGTAAGTTTCTAAAATCTCTTATTGCATATCTTTCTACCTAAGCCCATGAGCAGAAAAATATCCATAACATAAGGATAAAAATATACTGCTTTGAAATTCTGAAAACCACCTCAAGATGGCATCAAAAGTTTCACAGGCAGTCAGATACTGTTTAAATTGGACAGCAAGAGGATGTGCTGCTCATCACTTATCCAAAATCCTGCTAGTTTAGTTATTCAATCCCCAAAGAATCAGGACAGCTATCAGGAATCAGAAATATGACTTTCAAGTGAGAACAGCTAACCCACGCAGTATTAAAACCTGTTGCTGTTGAGTCGATTCCGACTCACAGCAACCCTTTAAGACAGAGCAGAATGGCCCCACAGGGTTTCCAAGGCTATAAATCTTTACAGAAATAGACTGCCAGGTTTTTCTTCCATGAAGCAGCTGGAGGGTTCGAACTGCTGACCTTTCAGTTAACATCCAAGCGCTTAACTACTGCGCTACCAGGGCTCCTTCATTAACAGGGGCAATACTGCTTCTAAGATGGCAAAAACTGTTCCTTGGGAAGTGAAAAAAAAACTTAGATATTATAATCGTTTGTGCCCCACCCCAGTCCCCAAGCTCAACTCCACTCAACAAATTCTTATTCCTTAAATTTAACTTCATGGGAGAAGAGGGTGGCAACTGGGGTGAGGGGGGAGATAATGAAAAACAGGTTGAGAAACACTGAACTAAGTAATACTTCCCATCTGTTTTACCTATTGATTTAGTCAATCTCTTGCATCTACTTTAGGAAGCTGCTTCTAGAAAATAACTGATGTTACTTTTTTTTAAATGCAAACTTTAAGTAGTACGTAAAATAGATTAAATTTGATGACTAGGCAATTTGTGAAATTTTTATTAAGAGGGCAAGATTTTTTAAGAGCATTTAGGAACTCTGCACAAAGATTAGCCTGAAGAGAAATATTTCAGGAGACGAAAAGGAAAAGAATAGCAAACTTTCTCCTAGAAGAAAGCAAAGTAGAGAATGAGAATATAAACCAAGCATTCAACTGGTCACTCATACATGGAAAAATGACCAGTGTTTATTCAAACATATCTTAAGGACCTATATGTCACTGTGTTAGGAAGTAGGGATACACAGTCTCTGCTACCCAAGGCCTCACAGCATGAGCCAGGTATCTCTCCCCAATATAGTCAACAAGGAATAAGACAACGCATGGTTAAAAGAGGTAATGCTCAGACCTGCCTCTTCCTAACTCCTTCCCAATCCAGCTTGATTCTAGTAGACAGTATGGAATCAAGACAAACATGACTTTGTACAGAGAAAAATGAGGCTGCATTGTATCATCCTGACTGGAATAACAGTCCTTAGTTTCTAAGAGACTCAGATCAGTGTAATGCTCTTAAGGTAAATGAATCATTCCTGCCACCTTAAGAAAACATGGCTGGTGTTCAGATTCACAGCACAGAATCTGGAACCTGATGGATACAGTTTTGGATAATAACCTAAAAGTAATGGTTCTCAAAATTGGCTGCATTTTGGAAATACCTAAACAGCTTTTAAGATTTCTATTACCCAGGCTGCACTCTAGTATGCAGTCAACTTTGAGAACCACTGATGCAGAAAACTTGGGGGAAAGTTTTTGCAGAAAACTTGCCAACTAATCTGTGGATTAGAGGTGTGTTAATACTTCTTGCAACAACATGAGCTGTAAGCTCATGAATATTTCTTCACTAAGAACTGTTATGAACTCACTTGGTATTCAGGGAAGGAGTTTCTGGGCTGCCTGCCAAACTTACAGGAGAAAGCACAAACCTGAATATATGGAGAAAAATATCTCAAAATGAATGCAAGAAATAACGTAAATAAATAAATAAAAACAATCAAACTTTAAAATTTTATGCCCAAATCTGTTAGAAACTGATGTTAAAAGTTAAGTTCCCACATCTAGCTCAACTAGCATAACACAGTTTATAAAGACAATGTTCTACATTCGACCTTGGTGAGTAGCGCCTGGGGTCTTAAAAGCCTGGGAGCGGCCATCTAAGATACTCCACTGGTCTCATCCCTTCGGGAGCAAGGAAGAATGAAGAGAACAGGATACAAGGAAAAGATTAGTCCAAAGGACTAACGGACCACAGCTACCAAGGCCTCCACCAGACTGAGTCCAGTACAGCTAGATGGTGCCCGGCTACCACCACTGACTGCTCTGACCAGGATCACAACAGAGGGTTCTGGACAGAGCTAGAGAAGGATGTAGAGCATAATTCTAACTCACAAAAAAAAAGACCAGATTTACTGGCCTAAAGGAGACTGGAGAAACCCCGAGAGTATGGCCCCCAGACACCCTTTTAGCTCAGTGGTGAAGTTATCTCTGAGGTTCACCGTTCAGCCTGGGAGTGGACAGCCCCGTAAAACCAAATGGGACTAATGAGGTACAGCAGTCCAGTGACAAGGGCCAGAAGGCAGAAGGGGACAAGGAAGCTAGTGATAGGGAACCCAAGGTTGAGTAAGGATATTGTTGATGTGCTGTGAGATTGTTAACCATTGTCACAGGGCAACATGTGTAGTAACTGTTAAATGAGAAACTATTTTGTTCTGTAAGCCTTCATCTTAAGTGAGAATAGCAACACAATTGGAAGAGCGTAGTCAAAGTCACTGAACTGTGCATGTAGAAATTTTTGAAATGGTTTATCTTTGGCTATTTGTATTTTTACCAAAAAAAAAGATTGAGAAGTTAGAGGGTTGACATGTTGTGGGGTTGTTAACCAATGTCATAAAACAATATGTGTACTACTGTTTCATGAGAAACTATTTGTTCTGTAAGCCTTCACCTGAAGTACAATAAAAAAAAAAAAAAAAACAAAAAAAAATGAATGAATGAATAAATGAATGAGTGAATTAAAAAAAAAAAGTTAAGTTCCCACTCCTAAATACCTGAAAAGTAAGAGGCGGAGGGAAAATAACAACCCTCAGGCTGGCTTGTAAAGGATTTTTTTTGTTTGTTTGTTTAATACATCTGAAAAGAATGCATATACAAAGAATTGAGACATGAGAAAGCACTGGTTGAACACTAATGAATCTACAAGAATTAGGATTTTGGGAAGGTGGAAAAAGATTACCTAACCATTTAAAAAAACTGGAAACTGCAACCAAAATAAGCCAATAAAATCCCTATTAACACTTATGAAGAGTCTTCATAAGACTCTTCCCATGATTTTTATTAAACTAGAGAGCTTCAACTGGCTGCTCTAGGGTTCCTCATACGTAAAACAGAAATAAGGGGATTCCCCTGACTGGTCCCCATGTTGTTAAATGTTCTCCCCACCCCCACCCCCACCCCTAGCTTCTTAATGAAGCAGGCCTCCATCCCCATCACTTGAAAGAGGATGTGAATCATTCCATAGACATCTGTCTGCTAGCACCACCCCTCATATTTCCTCTATACACCAGGTCTTCGGCTGTGTTCTAGGAACACCATATCATACACTATTAAACTGCACATCTAAGCTAAGCATATTAGACAATGACTGACAGGGAAAAAAATTTCTTTTTAATTACGAACTCAATTCATTTGGTGTATTTCAAAAGGTGCAATACTTTTCTTCATTTATCAGTAAAAGAAGTTAGAAATTAACTTCCAAAAAAATCAGTAAATGGCAAACAAATTTCCTTGAAAGTCACAGTCACATACATAGTGCATCCTAGAAAAGAGGAGGGGCAGGACAGGTTCCACCCACTTTCATGAGTTTCATCAAATACTGGACCTACTCAAGGGTGGAGAGAAAGGCAACTTTCAAAAAGGAGTATGTTATTAAATGAGGCATTTACTATACTCCTTCCTAAGAGCACCAAGTGGGGAACATGCTTTCTAAACTAGATCTAGGAAGTGGAATGTGGAATCAATCCATCCTCCTCCCCTCAAGGGCTATCCACTGATTAATGAATTAAAAAACAAGACTAAATAAAACGAATTCCCCACAGTCCCCCCAAAAAAGGAAAAAAAAACACTAAGACGTCCCAGATTACTCTCCAGAGTGGAACCAGGGAGCAGCTTCAACAATTCAAATTAGTCTGTTAACAGAGTCATCAACAAGCATGCCTTGCTTTTAAACAAAAAAAAAAAATTTTTTTTTAAATTTTTTTTTGAAACAACAAAACAGAAACTAGTACTAATCACTTTCCTGACAATACACAATTACTCAAAATTAACTAGTACTGGGAGGGGAAGGGGGGGGCCATACCTACGGGCCTTGTCTCAAACGAGTGCATGTGGGTAGGTGCAGGGCATTTGTCATTATTGCAAAAACGAATTTTAATTTTTAATCTTTAGTTTGATTTAAACATTGCTTTTAGTATGATGCCGACACCAGCTGTGCAGAAAGGGCTCTGGAGAGATGTTCATAGCAGCACACACCTGCGGCTCTTCTTCGGTTCTGGAGGCTCCAGGGCAGCCAATATTGCTTCGTCAAATACATTCTTTAGGCCTTTCTGAAAAGGGGTAGAAAGAAAAAATGGGCAATCTGATTTTCAGTAAAGTCGAAGGTCAGATAAAAAAACATTCAAATCCCCGAGAGATGGAAAAAGAATGAAACATTAAACACAACCCTGAATCTCAACACAGTAATCTCACTTCAACTTTTGTCCAAACAGGGCAATGGAAGGATCCAGCAATTCAGGAGCAGCAGAGCAGATATTCATGAGCTAGACAGTGGTCCTCTGAAAAAGCTTTTTGCAGACCAATGTATGTCACAAGAAGCAAACAAGCACATGTCATTTGTTCATTCAATATAAATTCTGTAATGTGCTGCTAAAACACTTTACATAAAAACAAGTGAAGCAGCTCTGCATTCACATGAAACGGATAGATATGGAACAGGACTGAGAGGACCAGCACAAGAGTAGCAACTTTATTATATGGAAGGCGCAGGCAAAGATGGAGAGAGTGATTACGGTGGCTGTGAACATATTCACTTTGAACTCCCTTTATCCCACCAATCAGACAGAGCCAAGGGGATTTAAGAAAGCAAAAATGTGGGAACCTGGTACAAATGTAAAACTAGAGCCAGTCAGTGCAACAGGAAGAATGCTTCATCAGGCATTTATACAAACAACTGTATTTTTTTAATTTGAAAATTTTAAGGTAACCACAATTGTATGTTTCCCTCACAACAATAAAATCAGAAGCAGGAAAATATAAAGGTGGTAGCTTTACATCTCAACATTAACAAACCTTCAGTCAACTGTTAAAATGGATGCTATTCTTCAGATAATGTTAACAAATGATCTCATAAAGCAGTAGCATATACATCAATATCTTCCCCACCCCAGACTGACAAAATACTCCACTACAGCACAGACAGCCAAAGCAATAGCAACACAAAGTTTCACTGCATAAAGGAAAACCAAAAAAGAATCCTCCCTTCCCCATTACAGCTCTATTAGCAGGTCACCTTTTTTCCATGAAGGTTTGTCATGCAATTACAATTAACAATCGATCATAAGAATAAAACGATGTTTGTGTTATTTTTTCCATCTAGAACTAAGATTTAGAAGTGTTTAAAACTCTTATTTTCTCCAAGAGGACATTCTTAATGCCAGACCAAGTTCCCTTTTGCTATAGTAATCCAAACCAAAAAGCTCTGAGCATCAGGCAACTCAAGCAGCAGAAAGTGAAACAAGTCCAATTTGACTACTGATCACAAAAAATATTCTATAAGATATTGCATTCTTGACCAAAAACTAATACAGAGGTGCTCTAAGGTGGTGAGTAAAAAGACGCAGAGGCTTTCAAACAGGATGGTTTTATTCCTTTGTTTTTAAACGATCTTTCTACAGTAGTGGGACAGGAAGCAGCAGCAAAGAGGGGAAGGAGAAAACAGTTTAGAATATACAGCACTTCCTTTTGGGTTGAGTTTCCGGAGGCTCGAGGGCAGCTAGGATAGCCTCATCAAACACATTCTTCAGACCTCTCTATAAGACAGAGGGGAGGAGAGAGAATAGCAGCCAGGTTAGAGGATTAGAAAGACTAGCAGATACAAACAGCAGTCCGAATCAAATGGGCTGAATTCACAGAAGCAATGTATGTCAAGAATAAATTTCAGAAAGCTAGATCTTAAACCTACTACTAGGAGAGTAAAAAACTGAACAGAAACTTCCTACCTCAAAAGAGGTTAACTAAGCAAGAAGAAAACAATTTCTACGAAAATGCAGTGCGCTGACCTCTGAAATAACAACAGCACACTGAAATCTAACATTACAACATTTTAATTAAAATAATGCCAAGAGAAAAAAATATGTAAAACATAAGATATGCATTTGGATACATGGGGTAATTGAAGAATTAAGCTTTGTGGAATTCCCCAGTATTTCTACTAATAAGAATGGCATATACATTTTGGAAATAAATCAATTACAATTTCAAGCTTCTGTGAATTCAGCCCCTGAATAACTGAAGGACACAAACAGCAGACTAACAGGCATGCTACATGTTTCTAGGTTCAATGACGTATCAGGATGGGATTAAGTCAGGATTTCAGAGTAAAGTGGTTTCTTATAACAAAAATCTTTAGACGTTTAGAAAGTGTTAATTATTCAACAGTATCAACTGGGAAGAGTTTAAAGACCAGACTCTAGAAACAGCACACACTTCAGTTATTCAGTAATGTTATTAGAGCAAGTAACCACCACCCAAGTCATAGGAAAACAAAGAATGGGGTACTAGAATGAGTTTTGCAAGCAGTTCAATGCTTTAAGATGTCCACATGGGTATCAGAGCATAAAGCATGGAGTGAAAACAAGACTATTCTCAGATCTACGGGGGTTAAGATGCAGAAATACACTTACACCACAGCCAGAAACTCCAACGTGACAGTGTGACTCAGCAGTAGTGGTACTTTGGGCCTACGTCTATAGACTCACCTAAATTCACCTAAATCTGAAGCCACAGGTTTACCACCCAAAGAAGTTTCGTATGTTCTTTATATCAGTTCCATCCCAAGTAAAATTTTTCTAAAAGTCCCATAACACAGTTCCAGTAATAAGTGACAACCCCAGGCCACCGTGGATCAAACACTCCCCCGCCCCCTGACATACTCCCACCACAGCATCCCAGGGAACTGTTACCCACACATTCTATTAGATACAAAATAAATGAGAAATACCAATAAGTACTTTAAAAAAAAAAAAAAAAAGGTCAAAAGGTTTCTTCTTTCTATATTATTTACAAAGCAGAAAAGCTAAACAAGAGTTAAAGTTCCTCTGAAATTCTTTCTACACATCTAGGAACAAACTCTAATGGTCAAATATAAAAAGAAGGAGGGAGAGTAGAAAGGGAAATATATTTGACTGTATATCGCTTAACAAGAAGCAAATTATTTCTTGCTTATTCTGGACAAAGATCAATAAATACCCTAATAAAATAAAACTAATTTTGCTTTACCTATTATCTGTTTATATAGAGTTTAGTTTTAGAGGAGTCAACAAACAGAATCTGGAGTCCTAAAAGTTCTACCTCTCAAATACAACCACAGACCCCATTTCCTATCTCTTGCTTCTCCAAACTTCAAAATCTGATAAGAAAAATGTACCTGCTAAAGCAGACCATTTGAATATCCTATTCTTGGCAAAGTGACTTACTGGATATATAAACCTGTTCATACTGTAAAAATCTTATATGGAAGTATCCAATTATCTAAAATAAGCTTCAACAGTAACTTTAACTTAGGTCCGCATGGCCTACTTGCCTCCATTTCCCTAAAGGCATCCCATATCTAGAGAATCAGGGTATGCAATAAATACATATAAAGCTAGTTCAAATCTGACATGCTGCTCCACACCCATCCACCTCAACACATACCACCATATTTTTCTGAGGACAGTATCAAAACGCCAGAGAGAAGCACCAGAAATTTTATTTTAAAGCTTAATCAGTGCTTTGTGTGCAAAGACGTAAATTCTTATGCACTTTTAAAATATCTGCTTTATAATGGCACTAAACTGCCCAGAAAAACTAGGCTTGGGAGAATGTGTTTAAATTACTTGATATTAGGCTCTGAGATTATCCTATGAAATATCCAGTTAAACATAAAAGTTTATCTTTAAATATCCAACCAAGTACAAAGTTGGAAGTTCTTAAATTATGCATAGGCTCTATATACTAAATACCTAATGCATACATAATATGTAATTATATGTCATTTTCCTTAGTGTATATATAATCAAGCCTCCAATAGTGTAAAAAATAAAAATGATTAAAAAGAACAATTACCTGAAAAAGTAAGCATGATAAATGTAAAAAACCAAACCAAACCCACTGCCGTCGAGTCAATTCCGACTCATAGTGACCCTGTAGGACAGAGCAGAACTGCCCCACAGAGTTTCCAAGGAGTGCCTGGGGGACTGGAACTGCCAACATTCTGGTTAGCAGCTGTAGCTTTTAACCACTACACCACCAAGGTTTCCATGATAAATTCAGGTGGATTTAATATGATTATTAGAAACCACTACCCTTCATCCCTGCCCTATTTTAATTAAGCATGTTTGCTCATTAATCAAGCTTCCAAGCACCAGTAAAATAAGCTAATTACTTCCATAATTCTTTCTTTTGCCCCAAGAACAGCACTCAAAGGAGGGAATCAGTAATACCATGAAGGTGGGGATTATACAAGTCAGTTACAACTCTCACTCTGAACATTCTAACATTGCTCTCCTGTCCTCAGAATTTGATGCTTCCCATCAAACTAAGAGAGGTATTCCAATTAAATCACTCAGAATTGGACACAAGGAAAGAGGGCCACATAACGGAAAGAACACCTCCAAAAACATAGATAGGAATAGACACTATGCAAAGCGTGCTTGATAACTGTAGTAGGAACAGTCAAGGCAGCTTTCTTACACAGAATTCTCAGTAATTATGAATAATTCCTTGTCCCAGCTGAATTACTCCAGAAACGGTAACATGAATTGTCAGAATTGGCAAGAAAATATCAGATATATCTAGATGAAAATTTAAGTCTTAAAAAAAAAAAAATCACTCACATCTTCTCTTGATAAAATTATAATGATCTGGACTTTGCCCATAAATTTTAACACAATCCTTGCAATTCAGTACAACACAGGAGCTGATGAACACAAGAGCTTCACTTAGAGACTAATAATTTTTTTACAGAGACCTCAAGCAAAGTAATATACATTATGAAGCTGATCAGATTCTTCCTGGGCATTGCTTCTCCATGCAGACTCTTCCTGGGCAGCTTTTCTGAGCACTGCTGACAACTGTTAGATATAACCCTTCCATCCTAATGCTCTAAGAATCTACTCAACAGTAAACAAACAGATGATGTTTCCAACAGTTCTCACCTGTGTGAGTGCAGAACACTCCACATATTTGACAGCCTTCAGGTCACGGGCCAGCTTTTCAGCAGTCTCCGGGGTGATAGGCTTCTGTTTGTTCTTGGCAAGTTTCTCAATAGTAGAAGGGTCATCTCTGAGATCAATTTGGGTCCCAACAAGCAAGAAAGGAGTCTTTGGACAGTGGTGAGTTATCTCAGGTACCCACTAAAGAAAAGGTATTTAAAAATTTTAATCTACAATCCTCAAAATCAATTTACAGCAGGTCAAAAGAAGTTCTGGAACAACCTTTCTCAGGGAAAGAATGTTTGACCAACTCACCTTTTCTTTCACATTTTCAAATGAGGATGGAGAGACCACTGAAAAACAGACTAGAAATACATCTGTTTGTGGATAACTCAGCGGTCGTAATCTGTCATAATCCTCTTGCCCTAGGGGGAAAAAATAGAGAGAGGTCACCTACTGAATCTTTGTGTCCTCAAAGAATTAAGGTCATAAGTCAACTAAGTATGAAGCTTAACAGCACACTGATCACCATCAGAACAGAAACAATATACTTAGCTAATAAAAGGTATGGCTTTGTAATACAAAATCTGGGCAATATTCTCACTCAGCTAAATCAATTTAATATGTCAAGCACTTATAAAAGTGATTTTTTTTTCTTTAATTATTTGCTTTTACAGCGAAACCTGTTAGAGCCAGAACTCACAGGGACTGCTTTGTTTTTCCAGATTTCACAAGTTTTCCGCCTTTGACAGGGGGCAGTCTTATCACTTTTCTATCGCTCTCAGTGAAAAATATTTGAGTTTTCCTCCTCTGACAGGTTTCTGCCTTACACAGGTTCCGCCCTTCATGGTTTTACTATATTATCAATTTGTAGTGTTCAATCTTTGTGTTCATTTGCAGCCCAAAAATAATGTAAAACAATGAAGTGTTGCTAAAGAGATGGTTAAAAACCAAACCTAGTCAGATCTAGTTAAACAAACACAGTGAAACTATCCATGGAAACAAAATCTCAGGGAAATTCAGCTGACAAAATCCATGACAACATGACTACCAAAGCAGGTTCAATTTTTTAGTTGTGTGCATATAAAACAGATACCTGAAACTAAAAACGTCTAGAAAAACTAATAATGTGGCAAGAAACAATGGATGTTAAATCTAAGTGGGGAAAATTTTTGATGACAAGCAGAACATTTATTTGGTCTTAAAGTGTCTCCCTACAGATTGTTTGTAAGCTGCAAGGGGAAAAATGTAACAATACTGTGAAGAAACTGGACAACACCTTGGCTGTGTGATCAAAATCAGCATCACCAATGAGTGGCAGGATTTACATACTGAAAAAGACATATCACTAATGTAGTATTCCAACAACAACAACAAAAAAAGGTAACCTGAGTCTAATCATAAGGAAACACCAACCAAATCCAAAATGAGGAAAATTCTATAAAGAGGGGGCAAGCCCTGTATTCTATAAAAATAATGTCACAGAAGGCTGAAAATTCTATAAAGAGGGGGCAGGCCCTGTACTCTATAAAAATAATGTCAAAGAAGGCTGAAGAACTGATTCAGATTAAAGGAGACCAAAGAGATTTGACAACTAAATGCAATACATGATACTGTACTGAAGGAAGTAAAAATAGGACTTTATCGGGTCAACTGACAAAACTGGAATATGGATATTCAAGTAGTTAAAAGTATTATGTCAATTTCGGCAGACATCTCACTCAATTGGCATACCATAGTTTATAAAGAAAATGTTCTACATCCTAGCAACTGGGGTCTTAAAAGCCGGTGAGAGGCCATCGAAAATACTCCACTCGTCTCACCCCACTGGGAGCAGGGGATAATCAAGAAAACCAAAGAAACAAAGGATAGACTAGTCCAAGGGACTAACAGACCACAACTACCACAGCCTCCACCAGACTGAGTTCAGCACAACTAGATGGTGCCCGGCTACCACCACCAACTGCTCTGACAGGGATCACAATACAGTCCCAGACAGAGGTGGAGAAAAATGTAGAACAAAATTCAAACTCACAAAAAGACCAGACTTACTGGTCTGACAGAGACTAGAGAAATCCTGAGAATATGGCCCCAGGATACCCTTTTAACTCAGTACTGAAGTCACTCCTGAGGTTCCCCCTTCAGCCAAAGACTAGACAGGCCCATAAAACAAGCAATAATACACGTAGCTCAACCACATATACGAGACTAAATGAGCACATCAGCCCAAGGACAAGATGAATGTAGGAGGGGATAGGAAAGCTGGACAAATGGAAATGGGGAACCCAAGGCTGAGAGGTATAGAACGTTGAAACATCACTGGGTTGGCAACCAATGTCATAAAATAGTATGTGTATTAACTGTTTAATGAGAAACTAATTTGCTCTGTAAATCTTTCATCTAAAGCACAATTTAAAAAAGGGGGGGGAGTATAATATCAGTGTTAAATTTCCTGACACTGATAACAGTACTGTGGTTATGTAAGAAAATGTCCCTGTCCTTAGGAAATATATACTTATTCAAGGGTAGCAGGTCACAGTGTATGCAACTTACTCTCAAATACTTCAGGAAAAAAAATAAATAACGCACATATATGCAGAAAGAGAATAATAAAGCAAATGGGGCAAAACCTTAACAGTTGGTAAATCTTATTAAAGGATATATGGGGATTCCTTGCAATATTCTTGCATCTGTTCTGTAAGCTTGAACTTATTTCCAGATAAAAGGTTTTTAAAAATACCCAGACACAATTTCCAAAATTTTGGGGGTTGGGGAAGACACAGGGGAAGGATTTATCATTCCAATTTCTAAACTGAGCTACAGAAATCCTATGTATTAAAAGAATAGTTAAATATTTTGTGATTATTATTTTTGGCCAGTGTTGAGGGGAACTGTAAGAATGTTAAGGGAGCTATCAAAACACAATAATGTAAGGTGTTACTATTATCACCACTTAAATACACCGTAATTAAACAACAAAGGTATCCCCACGACAATACAAAAATAAAGGCTAAAAGAAGTCAAAATGAAGATGGTAACAAAACAATAAAATCACCATCAGCACCTCCAACATTTATTGAATACTTACTGTGACAATGCACTAGGGTTAGGGTTAGTGCCAAAAGGAATTCAAAGGTATACATTTAAATGTGTAACTTTCACTACTCAGGGATTAAAAATTAAAGAATGGGTTTAAAGAGAACAAAATCAGCCAAACTCATGAACAATTCTTTCAATCCAAACCGTCTGGGCTCTAACACCACCGACTAGAGATTTGAAGCATCACATACCAAAGCTGGCACCAACTCCCAGTCACTGTGCTGTTTCTTTTTTAACATACAGTAAAGTATATGAATCCTAAGTACACAGCTCCTGAGTTTTTACACGTGTATGCTTTTAAAGGAACCCTGGTGGCGCAGTGGTTAAGAGCCTGACTGCTAACCAAAATGTTGGCAGCTCAAATCTACCAGCCACTCCTTGGAAACCCTATGGGGCGTTCTACTCTGTCCTATAGGGTCGCTATGAGTCAGAATCTACTTGACACCAACAGCTTTATATTTTTAAAAATTCATTACTATTATTCAATCTTCACAACACCACTAACAGGAAAATACTTCAGGCATTTTGCATTTCAAGGAAATTAAGTTCAAGTTGAGCAACTTGCCAGCAACCAAGCTAACTGATCCATCTAGCTTCAAAGTCCAAGCTTTCTCTTTTCTATCACCTTGGTAACACCTGAAATTACTGAGTGATTATCACTGATTACAATGATTAATCATCAAGAGAAAAGATACCTTCTGAAAATTCAACCTAAAATATATACAGATAGGGATGAGGAAAAACAACTCTGAGTAAAACTAAATGCAAACATAAACAAATCAATCAGGGTGGGAAAAGACAACCCTAAAACTGAACATGAACAAATGAACTCAACTGTATTCCAAATGAATAACATAATCACACTGAATGGGGAAAAAAAGAATAAATCCAACTAACTTTTAAACAAAGAACTTTATATATTATCAGACTAAAGATAAAAAGAACTGCAAACAAATCTTGAGCTTATTAGTAGGTTTGTTTTTCATAGTGGTATGATACAGCAATTGTGCAACTATTTTATGTGTACTGTAGGACTGAGCAAATGAGTAAATATATTGATCATTTTGGGAACTAAGCTTCTAACTGTAGAGGAGAGATAAAAATATGGAATGGCAAGGAAGAATCCTGAGGAGTTGGATTGAATTGATGGCATCAATAAAAACTCATTATCCAGGAGGAGTTGGATGGAACTGGTGGTAGCAATAAAAACTATTTAACCAGGTTAAATTTACTAATGTTATTCACTTCCTTAGTGAATCAGTAATATTCAGAACAAGTCACTGTGGTGCAGTTTAACCTGATTTAGCTGTCTTATCACGCTCCAGACCCCAGTAGCAATGAACATATCTATCATCCAGATCCCAGTTTACAACCATCGTAGGAAAAACTGATTCAAGGCAAGAATCATCAATGGATATCAAACCTAGAGAAGCGGCTCTTTAATAAGGAACAAAATATTTACATGGTCTTAAAGTATCTCCCCAGAACACTTAATTGTGCTCATGAGAAACCTGTACATAGATCAAGAGGCAGTCGTGCGAACAGAACAAGGAGATACTGCGTGGTTTAAAGTCAAGAAAGGTGCATCAGAATTGTATCTTTTTACCATCCTTATTTAATCTGTATGCTGAGCAAATAATCCGAGAAGCCGGATTATATGAAGAAGAACGGGGCATCAGGATTGGAGGAAGACTCATTAACAACCCGCGTTATGCAGATAACACAACTCTGCTTGCTGAAAGTGAAGAGGACTTGAAACACTTACTAATGAAGATCAAAGACCACAGCCTTCAGTATGGATTACACCTCAACATAAAGAAAACAAAAATTCTCACAACTGGACCAATAAGTAACATGTTTCAATCTGTTGTACATAGTGTCACAATGAGTTGGAACAACAAAGTATCTCTCCACAAATTAAGTACTAATTATCAAAGGAAAAAGTATAATCATACAGTAGAAAAACTGGACAACACTTTAACTAAACGTTCAAAATTACCATTAACAAAAGGTGATATCCTGAGATGGACAGAACATCACTAATGTGGTATTCTGACCATATAAACTGAAATCATTCATGAAGAAATAGACTTCAAACATAAAGAAAACAAAAATCCTCACAACTGGACCAATAAGGAACATCATGATCAACGGAGAAAACTGAAGCTGTCAAGGATTTCATTTTACGCCCATGAAAGCAGCAGTCAAGAAATCAAACAACGTATTGCACTGGGAAAATACACTGCAAAAGACCTCTTTAAAGTGCTAAAAAGCAAAGGTGTCACTTTGAGGACTAAGGTGCACCTGACCCAAGCCATGGTATTTTCAATCGTCTCATACACACGCAAAAGCTGAACACTGAATAAGGAAGACCAAAAAATTGATGCCTTTGAATTATGGTACTGGCAAAGAATATTGAATATACCATGGACTGCCAGAAGAATGAACAAATCTGTCTTGCTAAAAGCACAGCCAGAATGCTCCTGAGAAGGGAGGATGGCAAGGCTTCATTTTACGTACTTTGGACACGTTATCAGGAGGAATCAGTATCTGGAAAAGGACATCACGCTTGGTAAAGCAGAGGGTCAGCAAAAAAGAGGAAGACCCTCAACAAGATGGACTGACAGAGTGGCTACAACAATCAGCTCAAACACAGTAACAATTGAGAGGATGGTGCAAGACCATTCTGTTGTACACAGGTTCACTATGAGTCAGAACCGACTCGACACCTAACAACAAATTGAGAAACACTCTATAAAACAACTGGCCTGTTTTCTTCGAAAAGACAAATGTCATCAAACGCTGAGGAGTTGTTCCGTGTTAAAGGAGACTAAAGAGACACTAAATCTAAATACAACGTGTGATCCTGGGTTGGAATCTGTCCAGGGAAAAAAAATTGCTATAAGGGATATTATTGGGGACAACTGACAAAATTAGAAAACAGACTGTAGATTAAAGTTTAAAATGTTATATAAAATGTTAAATTTCCTGAATTTGATAACTATACTATGTCATGTAAGAGAATATCCTTATTCTTAAGAAATATACACTGAAGCAATAAGGAGCCAAAGAGTATGATGTATTTAATTACTGGTTCAGAATATACAGAATGTGGCAAAATATTACAAATGAATGAATCTGGGTAAAGAGGTCTTTGTACTTAGCAACTTTTCTGCAAGTCTGAAATTAAGTCAAGATAAGAAGTGATTAAAAAATTTGTGTCAAAATATTAAAATGCTTGTACACAAAAAGGTCATAATATAAAAGGAAACTGCAAACTCCAAACATTCAACAAAGAAGTTAAATAAATTGTGATGTGATCTGCCACACAATGGACTACTATGGTAACTAATAACTGACATATAAGTACAGGTAGTAATCAACTTATAGCTTACTCCAGTTATGATGAACTGCACCTACAGCCATCTGTTTTTTGTTTTTTTCTTTTTTTTGTACATCTTATCATTAGTAAAGGAGCCCTGGTGGTGCAGTGGTTAAAGCCCTAATATAACATTACTCTTATAACTTTTAGTTCTAAAGGGCTAAGAAATAATTAGATAACTGTTGTTGTTCTATGCCATCTAGGAACCCTATATGAAAGAGCAAAACTGCCCCAGACAGTGTCCTAGGCTGTAATCTTTACGGGAGCAGATTGCCACACCCTTTGTCTTGCAGAGCCGCTGGCAGGTTTGAACCATCGACCTTTCCTGCTTAACATTGCACCATCAGGGATCCTTTATTAGAAAACTATTCATCTTTTCTAAACTTAACCATTTACTATTAGTACTCTCTCCATTTTATCTTCTCAATCAAATCCAAACAGTTCCTCAACTGGGCAGTAGAATATGCTCCATAAAGAGCAGTATGTCAGTTGGTAGACAGTGACAAGGTAACTCACACAAAAGCAGAAAGTTTAGAATTCCTACATATTAAAACAAACCTTTCTTAAATTTTCCTTTGGCTAACTGAGCTGATAACAGAGACTACAAAGAAAGAAGGCAGAAATTAAGATCAGCAGCCACTGTTAAAATAAGAAGGAAATAACACTGAGGAATTAAGTACAGTTAAGGAACAAAGTAATGTGTTCTTATAATTTGGAAAGTTGACCACAAATTCAATACTGTAAGCTAGATACTGGTTCACCCTCGAAGTATCTTCAGATGTAATATAAAACTTCAAGCTATCTAGACATATATTATATAGAGGTTATACTAAGTAAGCCTTCAAATTTCAGAGGGTGACGATAATAAATATTGCATATGGTTTATTTGCTTACAACCTTGGGTATACTTAGGAAATCCTGAGCTTTAAAAAGAAATGGGGGGTGGGTTGTGAAAGGAGATAATCAGTAGGCATGTTTCATACAAACTGATTCCCTTAGTCTCTCCTCAATCACTAATATAGTCCCCAATCCTCTTGCAAGGTGCACACATCAGTTTTTAATTCAGTCCAGAGTTTGCCTGGTGTACTCTGCTCTCACTCTACTTTATCTCCTACCACACTATCTACCCAGGGTACTCCAAACTCCAATTGACAGCTACCCAGTCCAGGTCTGGGGTTGCTCCTTGGTCAAGAATCAACCATCATGACATTCAATCCTGCTAACTACTAACAAAAAACAAGTGATTTGCTAATACGCTAGTTTCCCAAAACATCCAAAAAGGACAGATAACCAGCAATTGTTTGTTTTAATTACAGCCCAAAACATTATTATAAAAGATACTAAGTTTTCACCTGCAGTATCAAAAAGTCCGAGAGTATATGGCTCTCCACCAATCATAACTGTGACTGCATAGTTGTCAAAAACCTAAAAACACAAAAATATAACATCGTTAGTGTGCAGGGGGATGGTCGAAATGGGACAGGACAACTCCCAAACTAAGGTAATGTTTCCATCCTAAGACTTAGTCCTCTCTGTCTTAGTCCATCTTCCTTATATAATCAAACCTGCCGATTTAAGCCCCTGAAAAAGCTAAACAGTTCTTGGAAAAAGTGACAGGGGATGTGTTCTTGGATGTCTCCTCTACCCCAGCAGCCTGGATAAAGATCCACAGAAGGTCTACAGGTGTCACAGGAGCAGAGTCCTGTAACTATACAAGTTTAATCTTTTGCGTTTAAACTGCTTAAGTTTAAAACTTTTGAGACAGTAGTTTACCTCAGTGTTCAATGTGATTTCTAAGAAATTATTTCTTAATAGAACAGTTCCTTTTAATCAAAATTATAATCTCCTAGCATCATGCTAATCTATTTTCTTCCTTTCAGGGTCCAAGACAAGAAGAACCTTTTTTGCAAACAAGCCCATTTGAAAGAAATGAAAGGTCCCTCAAGATATTCAAGGGAAGTGTCCAAGAAAGGGCTGGCTGATTACTTGTTGGGAATTTCATGAACAAAATTCAGGTTACTGGATACAAAGCTGTATCACATGATCTTAAGACACCTTTTTTGATTAATGCTTTATTTGTAAAGAAACCGTAAAATCTGTAACAAACTCAGTATATACTAATATTGGTTGGACTAAGTACTTGGGAAAATGGGAGGTAATGGTACTGAATCTGTAGAACCTAGTAAAGATCCAACATTAATTCATGGCTTCCCCTCTAAATTAAATTATAACTGAAAAACAAAGCTTTCAAACTAGGAGAAAGATGTTGCATTTTAAAACCAGCCCTGCTTAACTTCTTAGTTATCTAACTCTAAAATTTACTGGTTCACGTTTTAATGGGTTCTTTGAAGCTGATTTAAATGTCAAGAGTGAAAGCAAAGGCATGATGAAGGTGGTAGTCAAATGAATTCAGTTCTTGGTAACAAGAACAAAGAAATGTAATAAATTTGGTTAAGCTTGCAAAATGTACAAGTTATTTTAAGCTATATTTAAGAAATCCAAAAATAGTCCTTCTTTACCCACTGCTCATATACAGGACCGGACTAAGAATCAGAAGAGCAGGCTTCCATTCAAGACTCCACTTAAACTAGTGTCTGACTACTGAAGACATTAAGTCTCATTCTTCATTTGAAACTGAATTCCTTCCCTCATCCATAAAAGGAGTTAAGATGATACAATCCCTCCTAGCTCTAAATTTCTATTTTCTAGAAATAGCAACTGCCAATTCATATATGGGTACAAAAAGCATTTGATACCAAATTCATTTTCATAACAGCTTAAATAGATACCATGAGTACATTATTTGTGCTTCATGATCCATTTATTTAAATAAGCTCATCAATTTTCTTTCTACTTGTATTCCTCTCCCACCCTACCCCTTTCCCAGAGGTTCACATACAAACACACACATGCAAACACTCAGAAGTCCACCTTTAATATAACACCTAATGATCAAAGTCATAAACACTCAAACTACGTTTACAGGTAAATAACTTTAATGGAGACTAAAACACAAAAATTCTGATAGCTGTCCTTATCTGACACAAGACCTTTTAACCTCAGAACTTCTTCCACCTACACTGTCCCCAGTGGACCAACCCCAAAATATGATTTTGTATTTTATTACACCTTCAAATTCTCCCCACCTAAGGAACTTCATCTTCTTTCTTCCTATAGCCTCAATCTCTTTTCTTGTCTTGGAACATTTAAAAAAAAAACCATTACCATCAAGTCGATTCTAACTCATAGCAACCCTATAGGACAGAGAAGAACTGTCCCATGAGTTTCCAAGGCTGTAAATCTTTACAGGAGCAGACTGTCACGTCTTTCTCCCACAGAGTAGCTGGCGTGTTCAAACTGCTGACCTTTCAGTTAGCAGCCCAGCACTTTAACCACTGTGCCACCAGGACTCGTTTGGAACATTACAGAGACTGTTGATTCCAATGGAACACAATTACCAAGCCTTTAACCCTACATTCACCTTCCTAATAATGCTCATGTCTCAGACGATTAACCTAAATTACTCATGCATTTTCTTTCTTTTCACTTCCAAAGAATATTAGTCCCATATTAATTAATCACACATGGGTTCCTCGTAACTCCTAAAAATAGCTCACTTAACAGAGGTGGTTGTTGCCATGCCAGGTCACCCCCAATTTCCCTCTTACCACTGAATGGACACCAACGTTTAACACAATTATACCACTGGGTCGTCAACCAACCTGGGACAAACACTAGATCCCAAACACATTCTTTCACAAATGAGTGATACTCTAAATAAGTCACGTCCCCTCTCTCTATTATCTTTGTTATTCCCATCTTTCCTCTACCCTCCTCCTAAAGAGTTTATATAAAGTAATTGTGGGACAGGACCCGCAAAGGCTACTACTGGGTGTTCTCATAACAAAACAGGTCTTCTCTACCCCTGATAACCAGTGTGGAGCACCATTAAAATAGCTCCACAAGATTCTCTCCTTTCCCTCTAAGTAGAGACATACTAGTTTCTCTGAAGTTACAAAATCCTGAAAAACATCCCAGGGATCTTCCAAGCACTGATCAATCATTGGCCCAGATATCAAAGAAAAATAAAAGTCACCTCATTCCAAGATGTAGGGCATATTTCTCCAAACTGAGACCACCACTCTTTAGAAGCTTGTCTATCGGAGTTTTGCCTCCCAGCACTTCTTGCAAACCCTTGTGTCACCCCTTCTGACTTTCCACTGATTTTTCAGCTGTTTAACTTTAAAGTGTATATAATTTACCCATGAGAAGTCAAGATCTTTAAAAACAGGAAACAAAGGCAGACAACAGAAAAATTTCAGTACACAAAGAGGAAGAGTTTTCAAAAGGACAGCACATCACAACACATTTTATGAACAGATAGAAGCCTTTATACTTACAGTCGGTACATATTCGGATGGAAATTTGTTTGTTGTGTAGGATATCAGGAGACATGTTTTACCAACGGCACCATCACCCACAACAACACACTTAATTGTCTGCATTGCTGAAATAGTTTTGTATCCACTTTAAATATTTCAAATTCGATGTTGACCTGCCAAAAGATTAAATATATTTGCCTTATTTCTTTACATATATTTATATTTGTATTATTTTCTCAACTTGCAACAGGTTCACTGATTCAGAGTACCACAACTACTATAAATGAAGGAAACCTAAAAGAAGAGAACCAGTGACTTGGTGAAAGTCACAATAACAAATACAAGTCAATTTTCTAAGTTTCTGACCCCTGGTTATTTTGACTTGAAGTGTTAAAAAAAAAATAGTCCAAGTGGTGTAATGAGCAGCATAAGTCATTTTATAACAAAAGACAAAAGGCTATATTAGAATGAATCGCATGTATTACTTTGTGAAACCGTTCCTTCAGTAGTGTGCACACACACGTGTATGTGTACTAGAATGCAAAGCAAACGGCACTGCTTTAAAGAAGAGTTAATTTGCCCAGCCTCAGAGCTGTATATTCAGGCTATCACCAACAGGAAGCAGAGTATCACCACTACCTCCCTGTAATACATGAGCAGCATGAGGAATTGGATAAACATCAGGGGGATTGATGCCTGGTCTCAGCAGCTGCTTTAGCACTAGGCTGCCTAATTACTAATTCAATATTCACAGCATGAAGAGGCCAAAATCTGTATTTTTATAATGAAAAGACTGCTCTAAATCATTCTGACTTAGATATATTATTTCAGTTTCTCTTACTCTATTCCTCCACTCTAAGATGCTACCAGTTACAAACACAAAGATTTATTATTATTTTGTCACTTCTCAGATACTTTTTTCTCATTTAAACATCTCTAAAATCAGAATGTGTCTTTATTAAGCGGGGCCTTACAATCATTAAGTGCTCAGATGCTAACCAAAAGGTTGGCAGTTCAAACTCACCAAGCAACTATGCAGAGAAAGAACTGGTGTTCTGCTTCCATAAAGATTACAGCCTAGAGAACCCTGTGGAATAGTTCTACTCTGTCACATGGGGTTGTTATGAGTCAAAAATCAACTGGATGGTACACAGCAACAACAACAATCATTATCAGCCATTTCCCCCCATATTTTGACATTTACAAAACTGGGATAAATGGCATCTTAGATTCAATGAAATGATGTAGAGTTTTCTGGGGAATAAAAAAGAAACACTGAGGGTGTGGAGAAATTGAACACTCATCCACTGCTGGTGGGAATGCAAAATAGAAAAATGGAAGAGGTTGGCGGTTCCTCAAAAAGTTAAACACAGAGCTACCATATGACCCAGGAATCCCAATCCTAGGTATACTCAAAAAATTCAAAGCAGGAATGCAAACAGAACCCTCTACAACAATGTTCATTGAAGCACTATTCACAATAGCCAAAAGATGGAAACTACCTACCTAAATGTCCATCAACATATGCACAGATAAAGAAAATGTGGTATATACAAATGGAATATGGCTCAGCCATAAAGAGAAATGAAGTCCTGATACATGCTACAATATGGATGAACCTTGAAAGCATTAGGCTGAGTGAAATAGATCAGCCACAAAAGGACAAATATGGTATGACCCCACTTACATGAAACAGGCAAATACACAGACCAAAGTTTATTAGTGGCTACCAGGAAAGGAAAGGGGGAAGGGGGAGAGATTGCTTGGGGACGCTGAGTTTCTGTCAATGGTGGTAGAATAATTTGGAATAGGATAGTGGTGAGGTTGCACAACATGATGAACATAGTCAATGTCAATAATTTGTACATGCAAAAATTATTGAATTGGCGAATGTTTTCATTATACATTTTTTCACTACATTAAAAAAAAACACCCCATGTATAACTAGTTTTTAAGATAAAGTTTAATTTCAATTATAAACCTAAAGGGGTTACAATTTCTTGTTGGCTAGAGCTACCACCTTATTAAACATAAAAACATCACAGAACCACCTAGCACTGGACGGGATGCCATGTCTGTGTGCTCACTCACAGCACAACACTTAATCAAACCAAGTATTTTATAAATGCCTGTTAACATCTCTGTATTCCTAAACTGGTACTGTCTTAGTTACTAGTGCTGCCATAACAGAAATATCACAAGTGGATGGCTTTAACAAAGAGAAATTTATTCTCCCATAGTGTAGGAGGCTAGAAGTCCGAATTCAGAGTGCCAGCTTCAGGGGAAGGCTCTCTCTCTCTGTTGGCTCTAAGGGAAGGTCCTTGTCATTAATCTTCCTCTGCTCTAGGAGCTTCTCAGCGCAGGAACCCCAGGCCCAAAGGACGCACTGCGCTCCTGGCGTTTCTTTCTTGGTGGCATGAGGTCCCGTTTCTCTTTTTTAGCTCAAAAGACACTGACTCAAGATACAAACTAATCTTGTAGATTGAGTCCTGCCTCATTAACGTAATGGCTGCTAATCCTGCCTCATTAACATCATAGAGATAGGATTTAAAACACACAGGAAAATCACATCAGATGACAAAATGGTGGACAATCACACAATACTGGGAATCATGGCCTAGCAAAGTAGACACACATTTTTGGGGAACACAATTCAATCCGTAACAGGTACCATCTCACACACCACTGAAACTCTAGCACTTAGCACAAAGACCAGCACATAGTGAGTTGTTGAATGGATGGAATCACATAACAAAAAAAAAAAAAAAACAAACAAACAACACGAAACAATTACTGGTGGGTGAGTATCTACAGAAAATATATACCCTCCCATTTCTCATCAAAACTATCTCGATTCTATTTCTTTCTTTAGTCAACCTCCTTTTATCTTTCCTCTGTTACACACTAGAGAAGCACTCACACTAAAATAGCAATAAAGGTTAAAGAATCTGATCCCTAAACTAAATCAAAATTATTTGTCAAAATAACAAACCAAGCACACTAACCTTAATGCTAAATTAATTCTAGAGAACTATTCTAGAAGAAAATGTCCTTTACTAGATCTGGGGGAAATTCAATGATAATCGCCAACACTGTCTTTCAGGTACTGTGCTTTGACAAGACCCAAGTCTATAAAAACTGCCAGCATGCTCTCTTGCCACTCCAAGGCAGGCCAGAGAAGGAAATAAGAATATCTGTCCTGAGCAAAGTCAGTTGCAAAAGGACAAATACTGTATGATCTCACTTATATGAAATAAGCAAATATACAGAAATTAAAGATTATTAGTGTTACTGGCGGGAGGGATGGGGAAAAGGGGAGTTTTTGCTTAGGAGGTTTCTGTTAATGATGGCAGAATAATTCAAAAAAGGATAGTGATAATGGTTGCAAAACATGAAGAACGTAATCAATGTCACTGAATTATACACAGAGAAATTATTAAGTTGGTGAATGTTTTGCTATGTATATTTTCACAATAAAAATTTTTTTTTAAATATCTGTCCTCTCATTGTTCCTATGAGTCCACCCCTGAAAAACAGAGTAATGTTCTGCTAAGAAATAAGGTCTTCTGGAGAACTTCTTTTCAATTCAGAGTGAACGAAAAAAAGGTAAGCAGGTAGAGTTCTGATCATCCTGCAGACTATTTTTCAGTTGCCTATGAACCTATTTGAAGTTCAGTTCTCTTACCTACTGAAGTTCAGTTCTATTTCTCCTGACCAGTATTACTAGGTGATTTCTTTTAATGTAGAATTTAATCATAAACACCGCATAGAAATTAACATTTGATCACTGTGCCAGAGACTGCTAGCTGTCTGCCAATTCTTTCCCCCTTCTTTAGTAATAGAATTTTTAGCTAAGCATGTTGTTGTTGTTGTTGTTGGGTGCCATGAAGTCGATTCATGGCAACCCTCAATGTGTTACAGAGTAGAACTGTCCCATAAGGTTTTCTTGGCTGTAATCTTTATGGAAGTAGATTGCCAAGTCTTTCTCCTGCAGAGCTGGGTTCAAACCATCAACCTTTCAGTCAGCAGCCCAGTATTTAACCACTGTAGCACCAGGGCTCCTAAGGCTAAGTATATGGCCCCTAATAAAGAATTTCCCTGATTCCTTTTCAACTAGATGTGATCACTGTAACTAAGTTCTGGAAAATGGGAATGGAAGTGATAGATGCAACTTCTGGGACTAGCCTTAAAAAAGCAAAGGTTATAGCCTCCCCTACTTCAGCTGAAATGCAGACATAATGGTGGGAGCTGAAGCAGTCATGCTGAACCACAAGGTAGAAATTATATGTAAGGATGAGCAACACAACAGGAGGGGCCAACCATGGTTTGCCTTCTAGGACTTTTACATCAGAAAGAAAGAAACTTATCTCTCATTAAGACCTAAATATTTTGGATTTCTCTGTTACAACAACAGAACTGAAATTCTAATCAATTACTATATCTTATGGACTCTAAAAGAAAACAACTATATGCATTCTAAATTCAGAGACGTTATATTTGGGGAAAGTCTTACGATCAATAAAACACAATAATACTTGGATTCATTGAGTAACTCTATAGTGAAACTTGATCACCGGCTTCAAGGCTCAAAATCACCTACGGAAATGCTGTTTTTAAGTTTTAATTGTGGCTGAAATTAAATTCATTGTGATCCCTAAAGGTGAAGCTCCTTATTGTCATTCTATATCTGGTATTCACTTTTAAGAATTATACCCCACACTAATAACCAAATATAAAAGCAACAGGCCATCTATAAACTTTAAACTTCTACTAAAGGAAGAGCTATCATTTCTTGAAATTTTCATTTAAAGTCCCTAGGGAATAAAGGGGGCCCTGGGGGTGCAGTGGTTAATAGCTCAGCTGCCAACCAAAAGGTCAGCAGTTCGAATCCACCAGCCGCTCCTTGGAAACCCTATGGAGTAGTTCTACCCTGTCCTATAGGGTCGCTATGAATTGGTATTCACTCAATGGTACACAACAAGGGATTAAGGAAGAAGAAATTGGAAACAAGAAGTTTCCACAATTAAAGCCATGAATATGACTTTAGCACATGGCTAAATCACAAACACATCTGTGTTAGAGGTTAGAGCTGTCTAAAACATTTCAAGAAAAGGAAAAGCTATCATTAGTAACTGCATAAAAGGAGAAGAACTTAAATCTGATTCAAGTTGAA